GTCGCAATTTATAGCTAGAGACCTTCCAACAAAGTGTGAAAAATGCTAATTAATGCATAAGTTGTGCTTTATTTCTTTTCCAAAGACTTCAATTTTTTAACCTTCTCCATCTTTTTATGTAAATTGTAATCTCAGCTTCTCTATAGTAGTCACCATATCATATAGCTTGATCCAATTTACGTTATCTTCAAATTCCTTGGCATTTTATCTTGCTCAGATTATAATAAACTTTACTAGATTATCACGACACCTACACAACTTCATTTTCCTTCATTTATTTCCCAAAAGTCTTAATCTACTAAATTGAATTTCTAGAGGTGATGATCATCATCAGGCAACGATATTCTCAGGATTTTGTCTCCTTATCTAATCTAAGTTCCATTAAATATAGAAAGAAGACAAACCAACACAGTACATTAAGGAAAACCGGACCCAAAACAATAATTCAAGTTATCCTAATAGCAAAAACAAATAGCAGAAACATCAAGAGTTAACATTACATGACTAACATGGTGTATTGGATTGAGATTTCAAATGATTTTCATAGATTATTTTTAAATTAAAAAATTCATTGGTATTCAATTAAGATTTTAAAGAATTGGAAAAAAGTTAGGTAGTATTCGATTAGGATTTTAAAAGATTATTTTAGAATCCGTCCAAATCCGTTGGTATTCAATTAGGATTTTAAACAATAGAAAAACAATCTTGTGGTATTCAAAAATATAACTATTTTAATGGATTTTCTATTGGTGTGAATTTCGTGAGACTTTTAGTGAGAAATATAAATAAGATGTTTCTCTCACAATCTCGCCTTAACCCCTAAGATTTCTTGAGATTTCTCTATTGGAGTGTCTTCTTCTTCTTCATTTGACGGGTCGATCTGCTCGAAACTGGGCTCCGCATGGGATTTTCATCAAAGATAAAAAAAAAAACAAATTTTTGAGCGATTTTTATCACAAAAGAACTCAGAAACTACAACCCAACAAGATTTTAATCTAATCCATCTCAAATTAACATATTTTTGAGTAATTTTAAGAGTTTTTCGAAGTTTAAAAAATAATTGTTTAAGCTATTAGTTGCGATGTTTCTTAGCACAAAAATGTGTAATTTTTGTGCTAAGAATAAAATAAAACAGTGGAAAAACTAAAGATGATCAAAATCCCTCAAACCAATTTTTGTTTCGCACCAATGAAACAATATCGATTTAAAGAAATATTGAAACTTTCATAATATGAACCCTATGTTTAATATCAATATATTCATTAATGAAATTCATTCGCTATAGAAAACGATTTCAAATAATTTTTGTGTAAATAGATCACTAAAAACTTATTTTTCAAAAGCCGCAAAGTAATTTAATGTTTCAATGTTTCGACTGAAATTCATTTGAGAAATTTTTTAAACTTTCATGTAATAAAATTCAAAAATTCAGACTCAAAATTTTCTTGGAATATTCAATTAAATATGAATATGATATATGGTTAGAAAACTGTCATCACGTAGAACAAAAACCTTAAGGTTTACAAAATCAATTGCAAAAATTTCCAAGCAAAATTTTATCATCAATTTTACTGATTGAGAAAATTATATTAGGTTTTACTTTTTTTTTATTAATATCATTGTATTTATTTGTTATTTTTTATTGACTCTTGTAATTTTGAATGTTTGTTAAACATTCATATAATTTTTTAAAATCTTATAAATCCATATTGTCCTTTCAAATCTTATAAATTCTATTAAAATCATTTAGAATCCAATCTTATGAATTCTTGATTGTAAAAAATGTCTTTTAAAAAAATCTTTAAAATTCCTCTAATTCTAAATAATTTTTTAAAATTTATAAGATTTTTCATCTCAAAAAAAAGTTTTTAAAATCCTAATCCAGTACACCCCCTTAAGTGGACATTTGGTAGAGGGTTTTTTTTTTTAGAAAAACAATTCTCAAAAAAATTGATATTGACAATCCTATTTACCCATATTTAACATAAAGTTTGTGAAATTTTTTCTGAAAATCTGATTTTCTCTATTATGATTCGTGAATAATTTCTAAAGTAAAATGTTATTCTGATGGTATTCTTGAATTGCCGGGAGGTTAGGAAAATATTTTCTTCCTATGCAGCAGCAGTGCAGTTTTTAAAATAACTATATATTTCTATTAATATTTGACAATTAATCAAACATAAAATCAAAAAATTTGAGTTAACATTTCTGATAATATTGTAGGTTATCAAATTCGGAAAATTCATTTTCTTAACATAGAGATAAAAAAAAATTTCTGTTCTCTCAATTGCTCAGTAAATAGATTTATAGCCGATAAATAGAAAGCATCTCCCATATAGTACTGGCCGGAGCAAGTCACTGTGCTTGTATAATTTTTTAATGAGTTCGATCTCGCAGAAGTATTCTATCAAAAGAACTTTATATATATATACAGGTAAAATTATTTTTGCAGCCGTTTTACGTACAACAACGACATGTGTATAGTTATGATTCTTCACATTTAATGTTTTCATCCTTTGTATGATTATAATTCCTCGCATTTGATATTTTCAAGTATATATATAACAAGTATTTGATTGTTGCATGTAAAACAACTGCAGAAATGTAAATTCCACATATATATATATATATATATATATATATATATATATATATATATATATATAGGAGACATGTTCTTTTACACCGGTGTAAGGCTTAACAAGTCTTACACCATATCTCAACCGTTGATAGAAGGAAATCATCGGTTAGTATTTGTAGTGTAATTAATGATTAATTAATATTAATTAATTTGTATGACTTTATAAATTATAACTGTTGGATCTCCATCCATCAACGGTTGAGATGTAGTGTAAGACTTATTAGTCACCGGTGTGAAATGATCCTGATCTTTTATATATATATATATATATATATATATATATATATATATATATATATGAGTTTAGTGTTTGTCATTTTAAATGACATAAGTTATATCATTTTAGAATAGAGATAAACACAGAAAAACGGAAATCATGGGAGAGAGAAAGTGAGTGATTTTTTTTAATTTAAAATCTAAATTTTCTGTGTCTGTATCTCTCTTAAAATGACAAACACTTTTCTATATATATATATATATATATATAGGATGACACAAATTCTAAAAGATAGACAATAAGCTAGTGCCCGCAATTTTTTATTTAAGATTCCTACAAATGTTCACATAATCACATGAGTATAAAATGAGAAGAAGTAAGTTCTGATATGGGATTTCCTCTTCTTAATTCAAAAGCTTTCGATTAAATTCGATGAGCTTAATTATTACTCAAGATTACAAAACACAAACTTTTAACTAAAGATTTGACCATACATGCTAATATGGAAATCTGTGAGCCGTGTAAGCTTCAACCATTGACTTCTAACTCCCAAATAAGCCGACAAATAAATACAAGGGAAATTGTTGTCTTACATAAAATAAGATAAAATAATTTTCTTGCATAAGAGGACAATATGGATTTCAAACAAGCCCAATGGATATCCTTTCTCCGATTCCGTTTACGGTCAATCATTTAAATATTATTTTTCATTTGATCATGGAACTCGAGTTTTGAAATTGGTTTTGAATGTTATTTAAATATTGATATCCTTTGTCCGATCCCATTTATTGTCAACTATTTAAATCTTATTTTTCATTAAAAAAGTTTCTGATGTTACTTTAGATAACTTTATCTAATGTTTATCGAAACGACGTCGTTTTGGGGTTAAAAATTAAAAAAGTAGAGTGATAAAGACTATTGTAACCCTGAAATAAATTAAAATTACAAAAATACCATGATTTCCGTCCCAAAACGACGTCGTTTTGATGAACATTAGATAAAGTTATCTAAAGTAACATCAGAAAAAACAAACCCTTGAATATTATTTAAATATTGATATCCTTTGTCCGACATTTATACGGGAAATGTTATACTTACAACTTATTTTTATTTACAATCTTTTACAACTATATCTTAATATTTTTGTCAAATAACAGTTATTATTTTTGCAAATCAAACTCATTAATTAATTATTAATTCGCAATGAAAGATAACCGTTGATTGACGGAAATCAATAATTAAGATATGATTGTAAAAGGTTGTAAACAAAAATAGGTTGTAAGTATAACCTTCCCTTTTAAATATTATTTTCATTTGATCATGGAGCACGAGTTTTGAAATTGACTTTGAATATTATTTAAGGGTGCGTTTGATAGAGGAGATTTTTTACCTGATAAATATAATTACCAGTAATATGGAAGGAAAGTGAGTTTGGTAAAAAAGTTAAAAAAAAAATTTGGTTGGCCAAAATTTTACTAAAAAAATTCGGTTAAATTTTATGAATATTTTGCAATTCACCGTCACGTTTGTACACGAAATTATTGTTCATGAATATTTTGCTAAAGGGAAAATTGTTTATCATTCTAAATAACATAACTTATGTCATGAATATTTTGCTAAAGGAAAAATTGTTTGTCATTCTAAATAACATAACTTATGTTATTTCACTCTCACAAATAAGTGAGATCCACACCTTTATTTTGTTTTTTACTTTCTCTCCCCTCTTTATCAATCCTTTGAGATGATATACACTTTTTTGCCTTTGCAAAGATAAAATTCTTTTCTATAAATAGGATCTTCCTTTGAGATGATATACTACTGCTACACCATTCACTCAGTACATCTATCCAATAAAAAACGAGAAATGACTGTCATCTTGTAGGGAAAGAAGAGAAAAATATTTTTTTTATCCAAATGTCATTTGTTAAATGACAGATGTACCTACTACAGATGTACAGAAAATGATATCCTCTACCGACTTGATAGAAATTGAACCCATAGTAAAAATTCTATTCTATAAATAGGATCTTCCTCTCTAAAATGAAAAACTGAGTTCTTCTGTATAGAATTCTATTCCTTTCTCTTACATTCTCTTTGAACACTCATTGGCATATATCTTTCTCCTTGTGTCCTTGATAAGCCATGGCACAACCAGCAGCTTTGAAAGTTGTTCAACATTGCTCAGTGGAACCATTACATGGAACAACCACTTCCCCCACTCCAACCATTCTGCCAATTACATTCTTTGACCTCTTATGGCTAAGGTTTCCACCTGTTGAGCGTCTTTTCTTTTATGAATTCCCCAAACCAACCACTTCTTTCTTTGATTCTGTTCTTCCCACTCTCAAACACTCCCTTTCACTCACACTCCAACACTTCCTCCCTCTTGCTGGTAACATCACATGGCCTCTTCAATCTTCCACACCCATCATCAAATATGTCCCAGGTGATGCTGTCTCTTTCACTATAGCTGAGTCCAATGCTAGCTTCAACCATCTCTGTTCTGATCTCTGTGAAGCAGTGGAAAGATATTCCTTAATACCCCATTTGTCCACTTCACATGAACAAGCATCTGTGTTGGCTTTGCAAGTCACTGTGTTTCCAAACTTGGGGTTTTGTATTGGAATAACCACACACCATGCAGCTTTGGATGGAAAATCTTCAACTTTGTTTATGAAATCATGGGCTTATGCATGCTCTTCTAAGCTTGGAGAATCACAATCTTTATCATTACCTGAACATCTAACACCTTTCTTTGACAGATCAGTGATAAGGGAACCTACAGGAATCAGTGAAGTGTTTGTGGACGCATGGTTGAAGCATGGTGGACCAAATAATCGAAGTCTCAAGGTGTGGGAGTTCACTAATCCAATAGAAACCGATGCAGTTAAAGGTTTGTTTGAATTAACCCCCTCACATATCCAAAAGCTTAAGCAATATGCACACTCTAAGCTGAAAAAGAAGGTTCAATTATCAGCATTTTCAGTTATATGTGCTTATGTGTTGGCATGTTTAGTAAAAGCAGAACAACCAAAGTCCAATGGAGTACTTTTCATATTTGGTGTGGACTGTAGATCCCGCTTGGACCCTCCAATTCTTCCCAACTATTTAGGAAATTGCATTGCAGGCCAAATGGTTGTGGCTGAGACAAAGAGTTTACTAGAAAACGATGGATTCATTAGTGCTTTGGAGGGGATAAATGAAGCTTTGGATAGAGTGAAGGATGGAGTGCTCAGTGAGGTAGAAAATTGGATGTCATATATGCACAATTCAACGGAGGACAGAATTTTCTCTATTGCTGGATCGCCACGGTTTGAGGTTTATAGTATTGATTTTGGATGGGGAAGACCTAAGAAGGTGGATATGACTTCAATAGACAGAACAGCAGCATTTTCTCTTTCGGAAAGTAGGAATAACAATGGAGGAATTGAGATTGGACTGGTTTTAAAAAAGCATGAGATGGAAGCTTTTTCTGCCCTTTTAGTTCAAGGACTTGAATCCTTTTAAAGTTTAAAACTTAACTATTTTCGGGGAAGAATAATTGTAAGATATATGCTCAGCTAGTACCCTTTGGGATGCTTCTAAATCCTCAGTGTAATGTTAACTTGTGCTGTCTACAACTTGTGCCATTAGGATAAATTGAATTTTGTTTTATGTCCGGTTTTCCTTAATGTACTTCGTAGGCTTGTCTACTGTTTTCTGCATGCTTTCCTTAATTTTTTCCTCTCGCTACAATGACTATTAGGGCATTTGGTAGAGGAGAATTTTTTTTTATCCGACAATCTCGATTTTCAGAAATATAATAAAAATATTCAATTTACAATTAAAAAAAATATCCAAAAATTAAAAATTTTAAAAAATTTAATTTTCCGAAAAATACGATCATGTTACCGGTTAACTGAAAATGTTGATAATTGAACCTTTATTCATGTTACCAGTTCAATTATAACATTAATATGCATCGCCCCTTTGTAGAATGTCTATAATTGATTGACAAGTTTTCTGTAACTCAATCAATTATTTATTCCATTGACTATGATAGTTTCTCCGATGGATTACATGCACTGGCCAGTGTCTTTAATATCCAAGTACCGAAACATATCAAGGGGACATATCCTACAAATTTCATGTTGTTTATCTCATAAATATCGATAATCAAATAATCTCACTCCCAAAATACCGAGTTATTGGCCGTCAATAGATCGAACCTCACCCGGTGGTAAATCAAAGAATGAAAACTATTTGATTACCTATTTATAATAAACTCAGGATTAAGAGCAATCACATAACTATAGTTAACTGGAGATTTGATACCTTATGACAGAAAAACAACCTAAATCAAATCTCTCCTTGATCCTTTCAATGTGAATGTTAATTCACACCAATATTTTACAATGATTCGGACAAAATCATTTCATAAAATATTGCAGCCTGAATAAAGTGCCCAACTTTACTTAACGGCTGTGACTCCATTCATCAATTGTGAGAACCTATGATCATGTCCTCCATGAACGTATCCATATGATCATATACTTCACAATTTGATCCGGACCTTTATTTTTGTAAATAGTGCGCAAAATAAATAAATAAAACCTTATTTATGAAATTCAGAAAATTATTTTATTGTTTCATCGTCTTACTCCAAGAGCACAATGAAACCAATAACTCCACTTGCTTAATGCAAGTCTGGGATCCTCCTAAGACCCAAAGAAGTAACATGCCTCTCGAACACAAATTCAGGCAAACTCTTAGTAACTGGGTCTGCAAGATCCACCTCTAATGCTATCTGAGTTTAGTGAAAAAACTCATAGCTCGATGTTGATTTTCTTGAGTCAATATCCACTTGAAATAACTGAATTTTTGAAAACTCAACTTTTCAAGACTCCCACTAGAATATACCAGCATATAATCTCTCGTTCTCCAAAGATACTTGAGTACATGCTTAACAATAATCTAGTATTCCTCTAGGTTCAAAATGGTACTATCTCACTACTCCCACTGCATGACAGATGTCTGGTTTAACGCCCAACATGATATGCGTGAGTCTACCTTTGCCAAAGCATAAGATATCTTGCTCATGCATTCTTCCTTCTTAGAAGTCTTTGGTCACTCCTTAGGAAGATGAATTCCACATCTGAGAATTATAATTCTTCTCTTAGAAATCTCATGTTGAATTTTGGCAAGAGTTTTGTCAATGTAAGTAGCCTGAGGTGATGCCAACAACTTATTCTTCCGGCCTCATAAGAGTTTTATACCAAGAATATAATTGGCTTCCCCAGTACTTCCATACCAAAACACTAACTTAGCCAACTCTTTATGCTTGATATTACCTCCACATTGTTTCTAATAAGAAGTATATCATCTACATAAAGTACCAGAAAAGCTACTGTCTTCCGTTGTATCCTTTACATACAAATACACATCATTCATCAAGGTTCTCTCAAAATCAAAATTTTGATAACCTGATCAAAACTGATGTTTCAAGACCTGGATGCTTGCTTAAGTCTATGAAATAGACTTTCACAAATTGCATATCGTGTGTTCCTACTCATTTGCTATAAACCCTTTTGGTTGTTGTATGTAGATATCCTGACATCCAACTCCCAAAATGAAATCTCATAATTGAGACTTATAGCAACTAAGAGAATCTGGATAGACTCAAGCATGACGTCTGGCAAAAATTGCCTCCAAGCTAGCTTTGAAGGTTTTCACCTTTCTGTCCATCCTCTCTTTGCCTTTTATGTCCACATGCACCTTGTGGGTTTTACCCCTCTTGGTGTCTTTACTAGGACCGAACGGAGTTGAAATACAAGTATTTCATCTCATTGTTCATAGCTTGAGCAACACTTGATCAACAATATCTTCTAGTGCATTATCGTATCTAGTAGGATCAATATCACTCAAAAAGAGACAACTTGAGAGTTAACAAGGTTCTCTCCCACTACGAATGTACTGCACTAGACCTTGTGTATTTATAGGTAAAACAAAGAGTGGGTCAAATGATGGATCTTCAATTTCTTGAGGATCCGCTTATCCTTGATATTGTTCCTTTACATGTGATACTAATATTTATACTAGTTTCACTTATATATTATCATGTTGAATTTCCAATCATGGTTCTCTTGTTTGTTCACTTAGAGATATATCTATCCCCTCTTGAACAATCAAGGGAACAGTGGATGAAGCTTCTAGAGATTCTGGAAATTCTTGATCTGAGATAAATCTCATCAAGAATAACCTAACTTAAGAGCTTATAATTTCTTATCTAGTCCTCCTTTAAGAAAATCATGTGAGTGCTCACTTAGATTATCTTGTCCTTAAGACTAAATAAGAAATCATCTCTAGTTCTCTTAGGGTAGCCAAAAGATATGTACTCTTCCATACAAGATTCCATCTCATTTGACTGCTGTTGTAGGACGTGTGTCGTAGCACCCTAAATCCGAATATGGTTTGATCTGGGCTTGCACCCTTTCCATAATTCTTTAGGTGTCTTTACAACAAACTTTGACAGAATCAAGTTAAGAAGGTATATTTCCTTCTCTTAGGCATCTCCCTTGAACAACATTGACAAAGATGAATAACTGAATATGATCTTCACCAAGTCTAGAAATTTTTGATTTTCGCATACTGCAACTTCATTCAACTAACTAACGCGTTCTTAAAGTTGACAGTTACGAAAACTATCCCTCTTAAATCAGGTAAGACCTGAACTTACCAGACAGGTAGCCAACACTTTAGTCAGACCAAAGTGTTTTTGATTTGAACACCTACATGCTTTTCTGCCTCAGACTAAACCTCTTGGAAATTTCCAAAAGCTTTAGACTTATGGCGCACTTGGTTCATCTGTCCAAATCCAGAGTAAACATTCATATAATGAAGTACTCATCACCTCTTCTGGTCTGAACGCTAATTTGTCCACATACATTAGTATGTATCAGTTCTCGTTGAATAGTTGCGCAAATCTTTTTGGCCCCTTGTAGGATTTCTTGGCCATTTTACCTTCCAAAATAAGACTAACATGTAGCTTTTAGTTAAAAGATTCTTGAACTTTCAGTTCCCTCTTTTAACTAAAACATGTTTCCTACTTTGAGGTAATGTGACTCAATCACAAAGGCTAAAGTTATGTTTCATTTGAAACTTTTATTTCTTTGGTGAATGTTCTTGTTCATCACCTTTTCCATTCAACATAACAAATTTAAGAGGGTATAGGACATAGGTAATAAAGACTATTTAAACAATGTACCAGAACAAAACAAGACGAAGATGAACTTCGAAATGTAACTGAGGAATCAATTGCATTGTCAAACATGTTTTAACCAAAACAACTAACAAAAATTGAATTCCTCGTAAAATCTGGAACACATAAACAGTCACCCAAAACCATAGTCTTATAAATAACTTGTCCTACTGCAAATGCAGACACAAGTTCCCATTTTCAAGCTTAAAATATCTATGTCCATTGCTGACAGGTATGCCATGTTTGAACTACTACAAAGAGTAACAAACATAATCAGTGATTCCTGAATCAATAATTCATTCACTGATCAGGCCTTGATATGCCCATGTCTGGTTCTTTTCATCATCTCTGGGCAATTTTTCTTTCAGTATCCCTTCAGTCTGCACTTGAAGAACTTGCCTTGCGGCTTCTTCATAGCAACTGGTTTGACAACTGATAACCAAGTCATTTTGTTCTTGTTACCACCCATGGGTTTCCCTTTGGATTTAACAAGACTCTTAGCAAAACCTGCACCGACTGCATTCTGTCTAGAAGAGCTGCTAGACGCAGCAAACATGTCATTAAGAGTCTGAAGCATTTCTACTCCACTCTTAATCATGTACACTTGTTTCGGCAAGTATTTGGAAAGACTGACAATAATGTAGCAGCGAACTACCATATCTGCCATTTCCCAATCTGAGAAATGCATCTTAGTTTCCTTAGACGCATTCTCTGCAGGTTGCTATGGCCCTTGCATTGTCAGGACAAATTTTAGCTTCCATGTTTTAGAACAATATCAAAGATTTGCTTTTCACTTATTCATAGTTGGTACCATCTAGAGGTTTTCGACTCAAAATCATTTCTAAGATATTTTCTGAAAAAACATATAAAGCACACAATTACAAACAAATAATGCAATAAACAAACGAAGTTCAAGTAGATTCTCATAACTACTCTTGTTTATTGTTAACAATCATTCAGTTTATCTTTACAAGGCTTACGATGGGCAAGTCACTTGTAAAAACAAAAATTGTTATTTGGGCCTTCAGTGCCATTGCCAGAGCCTCGATGGGAGGGTTAACAATTTTACCAAAGTTGAATGTAATTAACCATTGTTTAATTTCAACATTATCCTTAGTGTCTAAGCATTGCCGACGATGGGTCGTACAATACTTTACTAAAATTTCGAAATTATTAAGATTTAATCTAGTGAAATCTGATTATCCTTATCCGATGGGGCTTCAGCGATAACCATTTCACTATTTATATGGGTTCCAAGAAACCCTAGCTCATTGGGCTCTAGGTTCCTTGGGCTCTTCTCATACTAATAACCCATTTGGGCTTTAGTAAAAGAGCAAACCCAACACATACCGCTACTAGTAGAATCATGCCATAGGAGTACACACCCACTTTATCTTGAAACCTTTACATCCATTCATAGCGTACTCAGGAGCCATGCATTATTTATTCAAAAACTGCGAGTTTAAGGAACCAAATTCTTGCAGAGCTAAAACATTGACCTTTTAGTTTTGTGTGTGACATCACCTTGTAGCATGTTCTACTTTTCAAAGCTGAACAAATCAAAACACACAAGTAAGATCCCCTACTTGCATTTGTCCTCAAGAATATGGACTTTCTTCTCGCTGGCTTCCTAGCAACTACGAGTAACCAGCACCAGCTTGAATAAATATGACAACAAAACAATGAATGCCACATTATTTATCAGAATAAATTGATTGCAATGTGAATGAGTCATTTCATGATAGATTGGATATTTTGCACACCTATTTATACCCAACACCAAGTATAAACAAAATTTTATTTATAACTAGGTAAACAAGAAGAATTATGAAATTACAAAAATTGAAACTTTAAAAAGATAACAATTGTTATCATTTGCTTAATTCTTCCCTTTCTCAATGCTAATGCTACTTAGCTCTGTGTTAACAACAATTGGATGTTGAAACCAAGCATCTATGAACGATCTCAATGAACATTTCCCAACACTCTGGTGCTATTTTTCCCTAGAGAGATGAATCAACAATCTTCTCATAAACCCCATTCCGTTGATCATCAAAGGCCCACTTGGCAAGGTACTCATAATCTCTATCTGAGGTCAAAAAATACTCTTCCTTTGTGCAAAAAATATCCCAACAGAACCACACCAAAAGAATACACATCAGACTTCTCAGATAGCCATCCAGTAGCATGATACTCAGGGTTCATGTATTCCAAAATAAGTTCCAAGTTCTCCCTCAACTCAAATTTTGGTGGCTTTGGCTTTGACTCCTCATGAGGTTGCTTCTTGCAGAGTCCAAAATCTGCCACTTTAGGCATCAAATTCTCGTCCAAAAGAATGTTGCATGATTTCACCGCACGGTGGTTGATAGGTAACTTGGTTCTGGAACGAATGTAGTGTAACACCGATGCAGATATGTAGTCTTTATTTCCATGACAAGGGAATAACATTGCGGGCATTGGTGCCATGCCCGTGCAAACAAATTGTAGACCTGACATGGGACCTTTCTCTGGGTTGAAATTGTTTGTGGCTACTTGAAGCTGGGTAAGAGAAAATCGGTGGCAGAGTTGTTCTAGTCGGGTGAAGGAGTTTGTGGTAGTGTTGGATTTTGTGGTGGTGAAGCATGAGAGACAAGGAAACAGACCCATTTTTTAGGGTGAGGAATGTTGATTGTGAAGCAGTGGCGGAACCAGCGCAAAAATTTAGGTGGTGTCAAAAATTTTTACATATTAAATTATCAAAATATTTATCATAATTATACAAATTTATCAGAAAAGAAATTTACTATGAATTCTAACATAGTTATCTAAATTATGTACTAAATAATGTCACATAATATTAAAAATTCAAATAAACAATTATCGTTGGTTATATATCAAAGCAAACATATAAAAATACACTAACATTTTCAGTAAACATTTCAAACATAAAAATTTCACTTTCCTCCCGCAACATAATAAATAATGAACCAAACATTATCCTAAGGATATGAAAACACACAAATATAATAAATATATGTATAATAAGCATTGTCCTTCGTCTTTTCTTTCATTATCTCTATTCCTTAAATTTTTCAATATCTCACGTTAGAGAACATCGCACTTGTTTGCAACAGCCATAAGCACGATGAAAAGTTTTCACATTTGAAAATTAATTTTTTGACTATTCTTTGTGTGTGCAATAACCCAAAACACAATAGTTCAATGGACCTTCATATTCCATAATTATAATCTTGTTATTTCATTTGGTTTCATGATTGTTACTTTCAAAGGTTAAGTGTTTGTCCTTTTAAAGGACACAAATTGGATCCTTTTAGTTTTTAACACTATGTCTTACTGATAAGACATAGTTATATCATGAAAAAAAAATTCTCTCTCCAAGTCAACTGAAGTGATTGAGGAAATAAAAAAGAAGAAGCAAATTTTCATATTATAACTATGTTTTACCGTTAAGATATAGTGTCAAAAACTAAAAGGATACAAACTTGTGTCTTTTAAAAGGATAAACCCTTTTTTCCTACTTTTAAATGATTTTATTTGGTTTAGTTAGGCCCAAATTTTGAACTAAGTCAACTAATCATTTTTGTGATTAAGTTTAAAAGTCTTTCTTTCTTAAAATAATAGGAGTAAGAATAAATAACATAACTGATTAGAACAAAGCAGGAAAAAAAACAAATATACTGGATAAAAAATAAAAAAAAAGTTAAATACAAAAATAACCATACTATAATGTTTCTTATTATTTGTTTGTATTTAGATAGTTTGTTGTTATTTTGTATTGAGTATTTAATTTTTTATATAAGTGGTGCCAAATTATAATTTTTATCTTAATTAATTGTAATTAATTATATAATAAGTAAAAAAAAACAAGCAAAAGCAGGTGCCAAGGCACCTGCTGGCATGGCTGTAGCTCCGCCACTGTTGTGAAGAATCATATTAGCTTATGAGACTGGGGGAGAAGAAGATTCTTGCTGCTGTGGATTGGATGAGTTGATTCACTCGGTGTGGTCAAATTAGTTGGCATGAAAGAGATGAAGACTCTTGGCTATTGGGAACAGTGACCATTTTGCCACTGTTCGTCATATTATTTACCAGAATGTCACGCGCACAATAAAAATTCTCAGAATGTCACGTGGGATAATTCGCTACACAGTGTAACGAATTATGCCTGCTGATGTGTCACCTCCCCAATAGTCCACGTAATTCGCTACACAATGTAGCGAAATACGTGGTCAAATGGTCAGACTGCACAGTCACCATGATGGACACGTGTCAAGCCACCAATATTTCGCTACACTGTGTAGCAAAATATGTGGCAACGGTAACCTGCTCCACTGCGCATGTCAGACACGTGTTAACCATGCACAAATTCGCTACAAAGGATAGCGAATTACGTGCATCTATTTTTCTATTTAAACCCCACGGTCCCCACCCCTCACCCCATCATTTCTCTCAAATCTCTACCTCACTCCCTATCTCTCTAAGTGGTTTCTCACTCTACAAGGTTAGATTTTTTTTTTTGGCTTTTGTAATATATTTGTTTTATTATTTATGCTTTTATAAATGTGTTATATTCTTTTATATTGATACTTGAAACATTAGGTTAGTAAATATGTTATATTATTTAATGTTGATATTTGAAACCTTAGGTTAGTAAATGTGGTAATTATATTTCATGCATAAATGGTTAGGTATAATTTATTTAATTTATTATTTATGCTTTAATATATTTTTAATGTTATTTAATTTTTGTTTTTGAAACCTTAGGCTAGTAAAATGTGTTAATATTATTCACGCTTGAATGCTTAGGCATAATTTATTTAATTTATTATTTATGCTTTAATACATTTTTAATGTTATTTAGTTTTGGTTTTTGAAACCTTAGGCTAGTAAAATGTGTTAATATTATTTTAGGGTTGGTATTCGAAACATTAGGTTAATAAATGTGTTAATTTATTTTAGGCATGAATGAATGGTTAGGTCTACATAATTAAATTTTTTAATTAATTTTAAACGTTAATAGTTTATAAATATTTTTTAATTTTGATATTTGAAACCTTAGATTGATAATTATGTGAATTTATATTAACGCATAAAAGGTTAGGTCTAATTTATTTAATTTTTTATTTATGCTCTAGTATTTTTTGAATATTATTTAATGTTGGTATTTGAAACCTTATGTTAGTAAATGTGGTAATTTATTTTACGCATGATTGGTTAGGTCTAAATGGTTATGTGTAAATAATATAATTTTTTTATTTAATTATTTATACTTTAATAATGTATAAATATTTTTTAATTTTGATATTTGAAACCTTAGGTTGGTAATTATGTGAATTTATTAAGATGGATCGTACGCCAAGATGGATCGTACATGTCGTTGGCCGGAATGCCTTCATCAAAAATTTGTTGAGTTGGTGGTGCAAGCATGGGGAAGTGGATGGTGGAGAAAGTTGACTGCTTGATTGTCCACCATAGTTGACTTCTGCATACAATTCAATAAATCTTGACTCGCCGTGTGGAGAAGTGCTTGCATTTACTACTAACGTTACATCTTCATCGTCGACAATTTCCACGCCAACCCATTGCACGGGGTTACCCAAGGCACATCGAGCAAGAGTTTGACCACGTTGTAATCTCAATTTCTTGTATATTAACTTCTTCAGCTCGTGAAGATTGCATGTTTGGCTCATGCGAAACATTTTTGCATCACCTTCAAAAACTTGCCCGTTTGGACCAAAATATTTTCTCCCATTATAATAAACAGTAGCTATTAAATCATTCCTACCCTCACTCATACTACAAAAGTAGAAAAAAAACTAAGATTCAACAACAACACAAAAGTAGTAAAGCTTACATAAAAGGAAAATTTTCACACTTGTGGTTCACACCTAAAATGGAAGTATTTATAGCACTTAATTCGCTATGTGGGGTAGCAAATTACTGCTCATAATTCGCTATGCCCCCTAGCGAATTACAGGGGAGATGACACTTGGCTCTGATGAGTCAGATACGTTGCTATTTCGCTATGAGTCATAGCAAATATAGCACCATAATTCGCTACATGGTACAGCGAATTATTTGGGGCTGTGACACGTGGCCTGACTTTGAGTGGACATGAACTGACCCATCTGACACATAATTCGCTACACAGAGTAGAAAATTATGTATCCAACAGGACTGTGACACGTGTCCATCATGGTGACTGTGCAGTCTGACCATTTGACCACGTATTTCGCTACACTGTGTAGCGAATTACGTGGACCATTGGGGAGGTGACACATCAGCAGGCATAATTCGCTACACTGTGTAGCGGCTACACTGTGTAGCGAATTAGCCCGCGTGCCATTCTGGGAATTTTTACTGTGCGCGTGACATTCTGGTAAATAATATGTTGAACAGTGACAAAATGGTCACTGTTCCTGCTATTGTTGCTATTGAGTGTTGGAAGTTTTATTCCAACTACCCTTGCAAGAATTATCATATGGAAAAGTCAACTTTCTTGTTTTGTCGGTGCTATGGTATATTCCAAGAAAGATTGTGTATAAATATCTCACGAGTACACTTGCGATGCTATAGTTAAAATGACACATATGATGTCGTATCACATGTTGACTCGGGTGATCTGCACGTCAACCTGTAAAATATTTTGTCAAGTAAAAAAATGAGTAAATATCTTTTTCGTCCCTGACAATATTCATGAAGTTCCTTTTCGTCCCCAACAATAAAAAAGGTTCATTTTGGTCCTTAATTTTAGAAAAATAGTGTCACGTTAGTCTTTCTGTTAGTTGAACTATGACGGCGTCACTAACGTGTCTGACGTGTACCGTTAAGTGGCTGATTTACATTCCACGTAGGACCAAAGACAACGTGGTTGAGTACCTTCTTTTTTTTCTTCTTCTTCTCTCCCACTTGCAGCACCAAAAGCGACGTCGTTTAGGTACCTTTTAATCTTTTTTCTCCCTTTCTCTCTTCTTCTTCTCTCTAATATAAGTCCCTACCACCCCACCCCCTATTAAATTACAGTTTACCACCACCACCATCTCCTGTAATGACCACGACCTCACTGGTACTTCTTCAAGGCGAGGCGAGGCTGCCATGGGCAACGCTTTCCTTCTGCAAGGTGGAGACTGTGCCGAGAGCTTCAAGGAGTTTCATGCTAACAACATTCGTGACACCTTCAGAATCCTTCTCCAGATGAGTGTTGTTATGATGTTTGGAGGCCAAACGCCTGTTATAAAGGTTGGAAGAATGGCGGGTCAATTCGCAAAACTGATATCGGAATCGTTCGAGTTTTCAAAACGACGTGAAGTTGTCGAGTTAAAGAGGTGATAATGTGAATGGAGATGCATTTGATGAGAAGAACAGAATTCCTGATGCACAAAGAATGATTAGAGCGTATACTCAATCCGCAGCGACTCTTAATCTTTTAAGAGCTTTTGCCACTGGAGGTTATACTATTATGCAAAGGGTCACCCAATGGAATTTGGACTTCACACAACATAGTGAACAAGGAGATAGAGTGTATACTAATGGTTGGACAACTTTCTCATCCTAAGTTTATGTAAATTACAAGTGGGAGCTTTGGCGAAAATATTATTACTCAAACTCATTAAAGTTTTCAGAATGTTCGGTTTTTAAAGTCGCAAAATATGCAGAAGTCTACTGAGTTAGTTGTCATTAATCAAAAATCTCTGCTGATGTGCTATTTGAATTTGGAAGAGATTCTAGGCTTGTTCGGGTTTGTTGATCGGTTGTTTCGGCTATATAATGAAGATTATTTAAAAAAAAAAACAGAGAGGGAAAGGGGCAACAACACAAACTATATAATTGAAGGTAACTTTAGAATCAACAAAGAAGAAAAAGAAGAAGAACAGCCCTAGACCAAGCTTCTTTGAACAAATTCGAGGTAAATGGTCCCTCAAATTGGGTTCACAAATAAAAAAATTCCCATGGCAAGAACCAGAAGAACAGCAAGAACAAGAAGAAGAAGAAAAAAGATAGAAGAACATGAGTCTGACCAGTTCCAGAACAAGTCTTCAACGAGCTCTCCTTTGAATTTTCAGTTTCCAATGTGTTTATCTCATTGGACCGAGGGACCACGATTATAGAAGCTTGCACCCAATTCTTCATTTTCTCATCCAAACTCTTCCATTCAGCCTTCTGCACCTCTTCAATACTAAGCCTCTCAGCTTTTGGTGCTGCAAGTGGGAGAGAAGAAGAAGGAAAAAAAAAAACAAAAGGTACTCAACGACGTCGTTTTTGGTCCTACGTGGAATGTGAGTCAACCACTTAACGGTACACGTCAGACACGTTAGTGATGCCGTCATATCTCAACTAACAGAAGGACTAACGTGGCACTATTTTTCTAAAATCAAGGTCTAAAATGAGCCTTTTTTAGTGTTGGGGACCAAAAGGGGCTTCATGAATATTGTTAGGAACGAAAAAGGATATTTACTCTAAAAAAAATTGAATCTTTTGCGATTTTGACAAAACCAGTTGTGGTTCAGGGTTCAACCATAGTATTTTTCTAGCTATTCTCTTTTGCTTTTTAGAAAAAATTTAAAGTTTCAATTTTTGTCGGTCAATCCATATGACCCGCAATTCGTCGTGTCCGGAATTCAATTTTGACCCACGAACAAAAACGTGTCATGATGGGTTGGACAATTTGACCCATTAGACATACCTTAACACAGCACAAATCCGATCCACCACATTTTGTCACTTGTGCAAGTGTAATGTATGGCACCTCATGGTTATGCTGGACATTTTTGGAATTTTGTTGGGAAGTTGTACGGGTGATAAGTCTTTGAAAAAAGACTTAAGTGTTGTTTGTAGGGGTGTCAATATAGGTTATGACACGCGAGTCAATTCGCGACACGATATGAAAATTTGTGTTCAGATTGACCCGCAAAAAAATCTTGTCGTGTTCGTGTTGGGAAAAAATGACACGTAAAAAATTTGTGTCGTATTCGTGTTGATATATTCGTGTTCATGTTGACCTATATTTTTTATTATTATTATTACTTTTTTTAAAAAAAATTAATTTCGACCCATTTTTTTAAAAAAAATTTGTCAATTACCGTTTTGACACCTATTTTGCATGTTATTCGTGTCGTGTTGTGTCAATCCGCAAAAAATTCGTGTCGTGATCGTGTTGATGTATTCATATCGTTTCAACCCATTTTGACACCCATAGTTGTTTGGTATGGAGATTTATTTAAAAATCCAACAAAAGTGGGGTGGGGCAAAAAAATTTCAACATTTGGTATGAGAAAACTGAAAATATTCCCGAAATTTTTTTTTTCCATCATTTGAGTTTTAACTACAAAATTCCAAACGAAAATATCATCTGATACATGGTAATTTTATTTTCCCATAGCATTAGTATAATTAACCCAACATCTCCGGAAAAATTTTGGATCTACCAAATACCTTTTCGTAACTTACCTAAGAAAAAAAATCCACCGTATTACAGGAAAAAAATTTTCTCTGTAAAAAAAATATCTCATCTACCAGACGCCTCTTAAAATCCTAAAATTGGGCTAAAATTCACTGAAAATGAATTTATTTTAAAGCCGGCTAAAGAAACCTAGCCCAATTCGTAAAATAATATTTTCTGAAGAAAAGACAAGTGGGCTAATGAATGTATTGGTTTATGCAGGTTAAACGCCCAGTTTAGGACCCAACTGCACCAGCCATGAATCAAGAGGGCAAAAGTGAAGGAATCCAAACAATCAGCATAGTAGGAATTAAACAAGATGTAAACTACTATAATTATGAGAAATGAGGATGAACAAATATGGCAGCCAACATGTCTGAGTATCGTGTGAGAATACTTTTGCACTGAGCACTTACAACTAGAGTATGAGCAATGCCATTGAACATTGGAGTGTTTTGAACTTGTCTGGTAGCCAAATTGATAAGAATTCACAAAGCTCTAAAGGACAGCATTAGTAGTTTTTTACTTCTTTATTTACATTCACAGTTTATGGGTGCTTTTACAATGTTGTTTGCATCAAATTTAAATTTAACTTTTACTATTACCTTTAAAGTTTTTTGTGTGTGTGGATAGTTTTAAAGTTTTTTAATTCAAAGTTAATTTCACCTAATACTATTGAAATAAAACATATATTCTCATTAATCAAATAGAAACCGTATTCTTAAACATAAAACTCATTTTTACAATAAATATTTACAAAATTAATTCTCCTAAAAATAGTTAGTTTCTCCAATTATATAGATAACAAAGTTCAAAGAATATGCCATCTATGATTTAGAACCTTTCTTTTCGCTTATTATATTATATTTTAAATGTTTTTTGGAAGATGAACAAGTCCAAAGAATATGCCCTACCTTTAAATAAAGACATGGATTATGAATTGGTGGATGTGATTATTTCACCTTTGAAAGTGAGAACTCAACCGAATAGACAGCTAGCTTATTTCAATAAAAGAAATTGATCTTTTATGCACAAGTATTTTAGTTTTTCGACATACAATGGTATTTTTATTTTTGTCTTCCTTTTCTAATAATTGTACATTAAATTATACCAGCATCTACAATGGTTGTTGAACCACAACCTTATATTGTCAAAACCAACACGTTTATAAATTTACACATACTCAAAAACTTCGTAAATGTGTACCAAAATCTCGCATACTTTTGGTCCTCGTTATATATAAAAAGGATTAGGTTATTCTATTTTTTTTATTTCTATTACATATTATTTTTCTTTCCGATAACATTATATCATAATTTTAAGGGAAAATATTTTCTCATGTTACAATGAGAATTTAATTCTCATGTTGTGACCCTTCGATTTGCGTGTAAAATTTTTCTTTTCTTTTTCTTTTTTTAATAAATGTGGAACCCACCACTAGTTGAGTCACAACATGAGAATTGAATTCTCATGCAACATGAGAAAATTAAATCCCTAATTTTAATTAAGCTTTATCATTTATTTCTAAACGGTGTACTTTAAATTTTTTTACTCTATGTACTTTTTGTAATACATAATTATAGCATGAAAAGTTATATTTTCTCTCTTTAGTCGTGACGTCAGGTAAACAATAAAAACAAATTTTCTTAATATAACTATAGGAAAGGATACGTTTACAATTTTTTTTTATAAATTACACTATGCATTCTCAGGAAAATATAGTGTAACCTAATGTTCTCTCGAAAAAACATAGTATAGTTTGTAAACAAATTTTTTTTTGTAAATATAACTTCCCTGTAACTATATATTATCTAAAGTATATAAAATAAAAAACTAAAAAAATACAACTTCCAATAGTCACATTGACACCTTATAAAAATATCAAACTTCGTAAATGTGTACCAGAATCTAGCATACTTTTGGTCCTCCCTATATATAAAAGTACAAAACAACCCTTCCACCGGTAGTGTTCTTTGTGGAGGCTACAGAACAATAGAGTTCAGCGATGAAGTTCTTCTTTTGAATTGCTTTCGTTTGCAATAATTAATGCAACATAACTGCTTTCCCTTTTGGCAATATCCAATGTGTTTGAGAATTGAGAACTCCATAGAGTTTCTTTCTTTTTCTCAGCCAAGACAGAAAACCCACCATTGAATCATTTTTCATAAAAATTAGACCTTTTATTTGTGATTCTCTTCTCTTTCTCTTTTGTGATTCATTTTCTTTTAGACACCCCTCTAAATCCAAATCAATCAATTGTACAAATGGGTTCTCTTCTGTGCTTGCTTTTGGTTATTCTTTCATTGTGCTATTGTGTTTCTGCTTCTTGCTCTAATGGAGACTGCAAGGTTTGTATACCCCCACCTTTGCTTTGAATCATGCCTTTAAGTTTTTGTTTTTATCTTGTGGTTTTTTTGAATCTTTGTTTAGCTTCTTGATGAGTGCTCGTCTGATCATGATTGTGGAGTTGGGCTCTTTTGTTTCTCATGCCCACTTGGATTTTCTGGCTCTAGGTGTGTGAGATCATCCATCACAGATCAATTCAAGCTCATAGTAAGATACCCATTTCTCTTTTTTAGTCTTTGTCTAATTTCACAAGAATCTGTCACAACACAAGCATAGATGATAATTCCTATGTGTCAAACTTTTTAACAATGGCATCATCAACTAAAAACTTAGATTGGTTGGAAACTTAGGTGGTTCTCATTCTGGTGGGGTAGGCGAGAAACTACTTCCATCATTTTACATGATCTGAATATTAAATGCCTCTTTAGGAAAAGTTGTGTTAATCTTTCAAGGCATTGTATTTTTATTTTTATTTTTATTTTTTGAGTCTCCTCAATCAGTTCATCTTTGGACTAGTCTGGTTCGAGCACTGTCGGACCCAAAGCGAGGGTGGCTCTCCCAAGACCTTTTTTTCCATTCCCAGTGCTCGAACTCGAGCCTTGGTTAAGGGATACAAATTCCTTATCACTTGTGCCAATAGTGTTTGGTAAGGCATTGTAATTTTTTAAGACCAAAGAGAAAGACAAGTTAGTCACATGGGTCCAAGTTTGAAAGGGAGATATAGGCATGCTCTCTTTAAGAGAGGGGGAATAAAAAAGGAAATTTAAGAGCATTATATCTTAATCTGTTGTTAATTGGTTCTTCTTCTTCTTTTTTCCTGTTAGAATAATTCTTTACCATTCAACAAATATGCATTTTTGACAACACACAACGCTTTTGCCATTGATGGAGAACCATCTCACACAGGAGTGCCTCGAGTAACCATCACTAACCAAGAAGACAATATAACCCAGCAGCTAAATGTAAGCGATTTAGTACTAGTCAGCTTAGCTTCTGCTTATTATTCTGATTTTCGTATGAGGAGGCGCGTTAGAGAAGTATAAAAATCTCTGATATAGCCTCACCTAACAGTTTAAGCTTTTAGGTTGAATTGGTTCTTTACAAAAGGTCACCATTTTCTTTCATCAATGGTTCATTTTGTAGAACGGAGTTCGGTCATTGATGCTTGATACATATGATTTTGATGGAGATGTGTGGTTATGCCATTCATATGGAGGCCAGTGCTATGACTATACAGCTTTTGTATGTAAAAATCATATCAGTTCTGTTTCTTTTTGGCCTATGCTTTTCTAACTTGTTTTGGATAAAAAGTTTGCAAACACTAATGACTAATGAGTACCTCTACAAATAGGAACCAGCTATAGATACACTGAAGGAAATTGAAGCATTTCTATCAGCCAACCCAAAAGAAATTGTCACACTCATATTGGAAGATTATGTTGAAAAACCCAAAGGACTGACAAAGGTCTTCACTGACGCTGGTTTGATGAAGTTTTGGTTTCCCATCACAAAAATGCCAAAAAATGGTGGAGATTGGCCTTTTGTGAGTGATATGGTTGCTAAGAACCAAAGATTACTAGTGTTCACTTCTGTCAGGTCTAAGGAAAAAAGCGAAGGCATTGCCTACCAGTGGAATTACATGGTTGAAAATCAGTGTAAGAAAACACCAAACATCTTTATTCTTTACTACAATCATTTTTCTTGTATTATAAAGCCCTCCTATATATAGGATCCAGGACTGATTATACATGATGTGTAGATCTATGGTAGGGAGTCTTACCTTGCATTTGTAAATATGTGAATTCAGAGTTACATTGTTAAGAGTGTGAAAAAAACATAAACTGAACTGAACTGATCCAAACTGCACCAAAAAAGTCATATATTTTTTGAATTAGTTCAAGAACAGAACCATTTTATTTGAGCCAGTTCGAGAACTGAATTGTTTTTTCAAAACTGGTTTGATTTAAAAAGCCAACCACTTTACCAATTCAGTTCAATTTAGACTAAAAACCGAACCCAACCATTTTCTTCAACGGATTCAAGAACCAAATGCTTTTTAAAACCAGTTCGGTTCACCTGAAGTAAACTACTTTTCTAGTTCGATTCGTTACAAAAAACTAAACCTAACCACGCACACCCCTACATGGCACAATACCAACCATTGTGTCAAGGCTCTCTCCTTCAAGCATTCATTGTTGCTTCCTTTGTAAATTTTCATTTTTGGTGTGATCTTAATTCTGCAGATGGGGATGGTGGAATGAAAGCAGGAAGCTGTCCAAACAGGGCAGAATCACCTCCTCTTAATGACAAAAGCAAGTCCTTGGTGTTGGTAAACTACTTTCGATCCGATCCAATTAAACCGGTCACATGTATTGATAATTCAGGAGGTCTCATTAAAATGCTACAAACATGCCATGGTGCTGCTGGCAACCGGTGGGCTAATTATGTTGCTGTTAATTACTACAAGGTAAGACTTTGGCATGTTTTAACCTCTTTTTTTTGCCTTCTAATTTTTGTTGCTAAAGCATGAACTTTGGACTCATTCATCCCAATATGGGGATTCTTGTGCAGAGGAGTGAAGGAGGAGGATCATTCCAAGCCGTGGACACTCTCAATGGGAAGCTCTTGTGTGGCTGTGATGACGTTCATGCATGTGTGGTAAAGAAATTTTCACTCTTGCTTTCTAGTAACATATGTCAATATATAAATACCACCAATTAAATTTTGATTCTTTCATTTTCAGCATGGATCTACTTCACAAGCTTGCTCATCATACAAAGCAAAGCAACAAGAGCAACAAGCTTCTGGAAAATTTTTTGATTCATATAAACTGTAATTGCTTGTCTTTTATCCCAGTCTTCCAGCTTCGGATACAATCATACAAAGTCTATTTTCTGCATTCATAGTCTTACCAGATTATGTTCGATTCAGTACTTGTGTGACATGAAGATTCACAATTAGAATAGCTTTAGTTGACATAATATGCTTAAACGTGTATAACCAAAAATATAAAGTACATGTTTTGGCAGAATATGTAGCAAGTACCAATGTCTAGTATACTAACACATTTACACTAGACTTTAGTTTGAATAAGTCGTTCTATATAAAATAATTTGAATCTGATCTGTTCTATTAGTTTTGGTATAGATTAAATTATAAATTCGGACAGGTCTATACTAGAAAAATAAAAGCCCTAACATAAGCCTGTTAGCCTATCAAGCCTTTAATATGACAATAGTTATTAAGAATTATAAAAAATAAAGTATCTTATTAATTGAATTACTTAAATATTTATTTTATTTTAATTTAATTAAAACAAATAATATCATATAGACTGATGTGTAGACTGATAAACCAAGACTTATAAGAGTAGACTTATAATCTATTTTCTAAACGAGTTTTTTAAAAGACTTGAACTTGTTTTATTTTAGTGAATGCAAACCCTAATATAAGCTGCATCATAAACCCTAATTATTTTACCGATAGATTGTTGGATTTAGTGTTTTTCATGGTGTTGAAAATATAATTTTATCTCCTGTAATATCAGAAACAATAAACTTTAGATTGTTTGGCCCATTTAGACCCTTGGTAACACCAATAATAATAATAATAATAACAATAATAATAAATAAAAACATATTGGAATTTATGGCTTACTTATCCAGATGAATAAGCTTGCACTATGAGTCCGTTTGGATGAGTTTTTTTTTTCTTCAAAAGCTGCTTTTTCTAAGAAAATAAAGCACTTCTCGAAAAAAGTCTGTTTGGATGCCAGCTTTTAAAAAAAGCAGAAGTCATAAAAAAAGCTAAAAACTTATTTTTTCCGGAAACTAAAAATTAACTTTTAAAAAAAGCAGAAGTCAAAAGCCAAAAATATTTTTTTCAAAAATCAAATATTTTTTAAAATCTAAATAGCTGTAACTTTTATAGAAAGTACTTTTAAAATAAGGAAATAATAAAAGAGCTTTCTTAAAAAGCCAATACAAACGCACTCATGGCAAGAAACAAAAGCAATTAGCTTGCTTTACAAACTCAAAATCGTTTAGGGGCGTTTGGTTGACGAGAAACTTTTTGCAAAATTTATTTAAATTTGCAAAATCTATGTTCGGGGAGAAACTTTGCACCTGTTTTTTTCACTTATAGTTATCTCAGAATACCACATCTTAAGTGGTATTCTGTATCAGTGAATTTCATCCAAAAATCAACACAAAAGTCATTTCCCCATCTACCTAGTATTTTTGTCAAAAACACCTGAACCAAACATGTTATTTCTCAATATCCACTTGCATTTTCCCATCAATTCCAAAATTAATTTTCTACCAAACAATACCGTAAACCTTAAAGTACACACATGCACACACACATCACAAGTTTATGAGCATCCAGCTAGTCTTCGAATCAAACTTTTAGCCTACACCCAATTCCCGGAGTGTTGGGTTTGATTCCCTCAACGTGCCTTTGGGTCCATAATCTCAGAGAAAACAGTCCCAGACATCATCAATTTATCACTTTCCTTATTACCAGAGCTATGTTCTCCGCTGCTAGTCGTCACACTCACTCCACTACTCTTATTGAAATCCGAAACCTGCCCCAAGCTGGTCCCACTACTGAACAATATATCATCACTATCATCTCTTTTTACAACCATTCCAACACCATTCTCATCACGCTGCTCAGCACTCTCTTGTAACTGCAACGCAAACTCCAGCATCCAAACGACGTCGTTCATCGAAGGTCTCTGTGTCCCATCATCCAGCAAACAGCTCACGCCAATCTCACCGAACTTCCTCAAGCATTCTGGCGCAATACTACCCTTCAACGCGGGGTCCACAATCTGACCCAGGGTCCCACTCTTGTAACAATGCCTCGCCCAATCAGCAAGCGACACCTGTTTCTTCTCCGTGGTTCGGATCAGAGGCGGTCGAGCACACAGTATCTCAAACAGCACCACTCCAAATGAGTACACGTCAGACTTCTCCGTCAAACGCTGCCGTTTATAATACTCCGGGTCTAAATACCCAACGCTGCCCTTAACCACGGTGCTCACATGGGCCTTTGACATGCCCGTAGGCCCAATTCTCGATAACCCGAAATCCGAAACCTTCGCCACCCATTTCTCATCCAATAAGATATTCGTCGTTTTCACGTCGCGGTGGATGATAACATGCTTCGCGCCTGTATGGAGGTAATGCAGCCCACGCGCTGCTCCGATGCAAATCTGCAACCGTTGCTTCCACTTCAGAGCAGGGTTATCGGTGTTGTAGAGATGGTCGCGGAGAGTGCCACGTGTCATGAAATCATAGACCAAGATCATCTCGCTATTCTCGTTGCAGTAGCCAATAAGAGAAACGAGATGAAGGTGGCGAAGCTGCGATAGCATGTGGATCTCGTTCATGAACTCGTTCGCACCCTGCTGCGAACCCGGTTTGAGACGCTTGATTGCCACAGCGGTTAAACCGTTATCGACGTAGCCCTTGTACACGTGGCCGAATCCGCCAACGCCAACGATGAAAACCTCGTCGAAGTTGTTGGTGGCGGATTTGATCTCGACGAGCGAGAATTGTCGACAGAGATCCGACGGTAGGGATGAGTTCTGCGTGTTTGTTGACTTGGTCGTTGAGAATGAAAGTGGACCCCACTTCGAAGTCGCGGAAGACTTCGAATGCTTGGTTTTGGTTTGGGACTGGGTTGTGGTTTTTCTCTTTACAAGGAAGAGGAACAAAACGACGACGATCAAGACCAAAACGACGACTCCGGAAACCACCCCCGCGACGACGACGACGGTCACGCTCTTCTTTTTCTTGCCGTTTTGAATAACCGGTGAATTTCCCGGTTCTTGGATCGGATCCGGGTTGGGTCCGGCGAGGTTGTTAGACCCGGCGTCGCTGATTTTGAAGATTTCGAGACCGTTCAAGAATGGGTCACTAAATCTTGTATCCTTATAATCTGTATAAGGATGCATTTGGATAGAAAGATTAACCCTTTTCTGATTAACACTCAACGGAATCGAAACGGCGTAGTCTCTGTGAACAGCAACACCCTTTTGCTTACTCCATCTCAGAACAGAAGCACGTTCCTCTGCTATCTGGCCATCTATGTATATGAAGAAAGCCCTGTCACTTGGCTCGTTGATATTCGGGTCAAGCTCGCAAAAGTGCAACCTAACCATATAGTAGAAGCCAGTATCAACTTGAAAACCCCAAGTCAAATTCAACATTTTATTCAGAGTTCCATTTTTACCCATATCACGTGCTGTTCTGTAGAGTTGAACGGGTGCTACATAATCAGGATTCACAGTGATACTCATGTTACCTGAGATATCACCTGGTAGATCATCACGTGCACTTGGTCTCATTAGATAATCTTCATCGTGACCTTCCCAGATTCTCAAAAGTCCGGTGTCGTTTCGCGGCGAGATTGCTTGGCCACCGACTTTGATTCTATAATCTGTCTCGAGTGCAGTTTTTGATGAAACGCTGTATTGGGTTGTGCCTGTACCCACAAGCTTGAATCCTGGGTTTGTTGAAGCTGTGTAGTAGAGATCATCAGGCATGGACAGAACCTCGATTCCGTTGATGAAAGCGTAACAGTTTGGTTGTTGTGATGTTGTGTTTGGAGTGAAGGTTAGGTTGAGCCTTTGACTATCGTCAACGTTGATTATGTATTCTTTGAAGATTGTTGTTTCCTTGCCTTCAGCGTCAGCTGTGAGTGAAGCGTTGAAGTTCTGTAAGAGTGTGAAGACACCGGATTTGACGGTGAAGAATGATTGGGTGCGGTCGAATTCAGGATATGAAGCTGGGTAGAAGAAGAGGCGTAGGAATTTCGGGCCTGTGGTGAGAGGGAAGGAGTAGGTGAATTCAGAATGAGAAAGACGAGATGTGGAATAAGGGACTGTGTTAATTGAAGGAGCTTGTGTTGTTGCTGTAGCAGACACTGTTGTTGTTGTTGGGTTGTTAAGAGATAAGAGTTTTGAGTCTGTGTCACCTGTCCATGTTCTATCACCGTCGGAGACGGTGCCTGTGGTTCCACAATTGATGGTGAAATGATCCTCTGGTTCGTAAGCTTTGATTTGTGTGGTGAGGTGAAAGAGCAAGATGAAAAGAGAAAGGTAGAGGATGGTGGTGGTACTATTGAAGCTCATGTTTTTTTTTTGTTTCAATGAATGTGGTGAATGATCTACTGGTTAAGTGTAATTATGAAAAGTTATGATGAAGTGGTCATGGTTTGATTGGTTGTAGTTGCTGGGAAGACTGTGAGAGAGGAAAGTTCATTTAGTCTTTGCATAGCAAAAGATTATTTGAATACAATTGCAAGTAGCATAATCGGGGGACCTGCTTTTTTTGAGTTTTTTTTGACTTGTTCAGCTTGGAAACGAGTGGAGTGGACCATGCTATAAGATGATGATCACACACGAAAACCAAAATGTCAATGTTCTAGCTCTGCAAGAGTAAAACAAAACAAAAAAATCAGTGCCTGTTTGAGTTTTTTTTTTTAATTATCACTAAAAGTGCTAAACTTTTTTTTTTTTTTTTTATGATATAGGATATTATTACGAGTGTTATTATCAATGTTACTATTTATTTATTTTATTATTAGATCTATTATATTGATTCATTATATTTATTTTAATCTTTGTATAATTACAATTCTTCATATTTAATATAAAAACATTAAATATGGGACATTAAATACGAAAAATTATAATTACATGACGATTGAAATAAGGGTTTATGTTTTCTTATGTTGCATGAAAACATGAGAGAACAAAAGTAGAGACAATTTAAATGTGGATCTCACATTTTATATTAAAAAAGTAAAGAAAAATTAGCTGGCACGGAAAATGAATTTGTGTAGGAAAATTGTTTGCTCTCCTGTAAAAGGAGAGCATGATTTCCGTTGAAATAACTATAAAGTATTAAATATAGGAAGAAAAAATAAAATTTTTAGAAAGTTAAATCAGAATCGTTTGATCAACATACTTGATCTAACGGTGAAACAAACTGATAGTGACATTGGTAGTAACACGAATTAGTAATAACAATATTGTCTCTTTTTTATTTTTATGTAGTTAAGATTTATACAACTTTAAAAAAAATTATATATGTATAATTATGTTTCAGAAGTAATTGTACTTTATTCTTTAAATAGGATTAATCTAGGCAATGTTGATTTCAGTTTTGGCTTATCTGCAGAATTTGGATGCTGTTGTTGGCATACCCAGAGAGAATAATCTGCTCCTCCCGTTTTGAATATTTTGTTCTTTTTTTAATGAATTATAAGATGAATGATTATGTGAATGTGAGGTTTTCACAAAATAGTACTCTTAATTTTTATTTTTATTTTATTAAATGATTTTATTTATAAATTTTACATTATTCTCAATTTCGTAATTTTTGTTTGAAGTTAAACTGCAAATGGTTATATTTACATTTAATAAAATTATAAATAAATAATTGTGTGTGTTAACATCATGCTTTTGTCTTGGAATATACATGTTGGTATGACTGAGGGCTGCGTCTGTTTTCTCGTCTTGTACTCTTGTGGCTGTCGCACTCTTATTGAAATGTGGACTTTACAAACTTACTGTTCCTGTTCTTGGTCACGTATCCTTTTCGTGGAAAATTAATTCTGCAAGATTTTCAAATTGATAATATATATTCGTCATTTTTAAGTCCAACAGCTGTATATATATTTCTAAGCTCAGCAAGTGGATCACAGGTATGCTTGCTGAATTTGACCTTTGCATGCACAGGACAAGTTATGTGTGCCCAATAGGGTTAAAAGCCCAACTTCTTCGAGGTATGTTACCTTTTATAATAATAATATTAATAATAGGATTTGTTTTTTCTACTATCAATGTAAAAGATTTATTTACATTGAGTCTAAAATGACGTCGTTCTGAAACGAAAATTATAATGACCCTAACTGGTAAATCTTAGTTAGAGATTTAATTTAAGGATTTAAATGCCATAATTAGATTCAGTGAGCGATTTCGAGTATTTTGACTGTAATCATGACTATGTTATGAACAGTGCGTTCTGCCGGAGAATTTACAGTTTTGTGAATTAACCGGTAGAGCTTAAAATGAGCAAAATAATTTTAGGAACATAATTTGAAAATTCTGATGACAAATATGAGTTCAGAACGAAAAATTGTATAGTCTGGCACTTTCCGTGAAAATCTCGTGAATAGTGTTTCTACCGGGTATTTTGTACTGCTGTTTAAGCAACCGGTAGAGTCCAGAAATAAATAATTGATGAAATAAGAATAAGAAAGTCCAATATATGCCAAGCGAGTCAATATAGGCCCAAGAAAATGATAAGTTTATAAGTGTTAAGTTTCAGAATTAAATAAAGTACAGTTAGTGGTTCACAGTGCATTTCGTTAAAAACGGTGCAAAAACCATACTGTGAATTATGAATATTGTTCCTTAGGAAATAAAAATTAATTTAAATAACTTTAGAAAAATAAAAATATATCCGTAGCTTTAAGTTAAGTTTCCGGTAAATTTAAGTGAAATACGCGATAGAAAAACATCCGACAAAAGGGCCACATGTGCCTAAATAGCTTGGCCACTTAAATGAATCACTATTCATTGCAAAAATTTCTTCTTCTCTCTCTTGAAGGGCCGAGCTTCAGCCATGGAAAAGGGGGGGGTTAGGGTTTTGCTTGTTTTGTTGATTTCTTCTTGAATTCTCAACCAAATCTTATGACCCACCACTTGAAATTGATTAGGAACCACTCAAGGAATCCATTGCACCTATCCATTTGAGCTATAGTTGAGTGTGTGAAGAGTTATTCCTCCTCTTATTTTCGGATTACTATTCATAGGAGGAGAAAAAGTGGGTTTTTGATGGAGCTTTGCTTGGAGGTTATTCTCTAGGCTTTGTACAAGTGATTAGAGGTAAGAAACCTTTATTTCTATGGTATTATTTTGTGATCTATGTTTTGAAAATTTGGAGCATGTTTTGAGTGGGAAATATTTGATGTTAGAAGGTGAAAATTATGATGGATTGTTGTTGTATAGGAATGATAGTGTTTAGTAAGCATTAATTTGTGATAAAAAAATTGAAAAGCCCTAGTGCACTCTTCCCCTAGGTTTCGGCCTTCATGGCTTATATAGGGTTTATCATGCAAATTTTTATTGTATGTTTGAAAAGGTAAAATATGTTGGAATGTAGTGTAAATGGATTAATTGGTGGAAATGCCAAAGTTAGAAAAAAATCCTACAAATACTTGCTCTATGTTGCGAACTATAGGATGTTTAGGGGTATATATATATATTGGTTACATTTTATTCTAATAAAATGGGTTGCATTTTAATATACCAATGGATGAGCTAAGAAGTGAAATGCTTTGACAAATGGTTGAAAAATACCTTGAGTCCCTAAGGGTACGCCCGCGACTTTTAAAGAAAAATAACATGATTTATGTGAAAGATTCTTAAGTAAATGCTTGATTAAATTAAAGAACGCCAACGGGTGTATAGAGGTCTAGACTTGTGTATTGGCATAGAATTGGCAAAAATATAAAGAAAGGAAAATAAGCGATAAAATGTATGCTTATGAAATAATCATGGTATTGCATCATTTTATTGATGCATTGTAAATTATTCTCTAGGTGTGCCTAGGGATTGAGAAGGATCGGAAATCTCTTGAAGCGATAAAAGTAACTTGTTCCACAAGTAAGCGTATTGGTAAAGCTTCAAGAGGTAAGCTCTATGTTTAAGGAGTCTTTTCCTACTTGAGTGCTCCACCATGGTTAGTGAACTATGGTTGGACTGTATGACTGTGATTTAGATGCTTTGTATAGATGCATTCATATAGAGTTATTTGATAACATGATATGTTTTGCTCTGATATGACTTCTGTAATATGATTTCTGTAACAATCTCTGGCCATTGATTGTATAGTACCCGGACGTCCGCTTTGGGGTCCTCCCTCGGGACTGATGGTGTACTCCTCTGATATGTCTGGTTCCGCTTTGGGGTCCTCCCTCGGGAACACGTGCGTTGATTTCCGCTTGGGGTCCTCCCTTGGGAATGACGGCGCACATCTCTGATATGATATGGATATATGCTCTGTTCTGTTATGATATCTGTTATATGTTGTATTTGTATACTCTGTATCTGAATTTCATGCAGGAGTGAGCCAGGGGTATGGAGAATTCTCTATAAACCTGGAGCTTATTGAGATTTGTAATCTCACCCCTCTTTGGGGACACATTTTCAGGGGCCCAGATTTCCGGTGAGTCCTCACTAGGCAGGGACACGACACGTGGCTGAGGCAGTTGACAGACCGGATTTTGAGTGGCTGTAGGCTACTACCTTTTTGGAGTGTTTGATGTATTTTAGTATTTTCGCATTTGATGGATCATGATATTGATCCTTTATTTTGTATATGGCCTGTATATGTTTTGTACATGTCTATCAGTTTGATGCATGTACATTTGAGTATTCAGGAACGTTATATGATGATGTAGTATTCAGATAGGTTTATGTTTTGATGGCATGCTGTTAGATTTAGTGGCACGGAGCCATGTTATGCATGCGCCCATGTATGGGTATTTGATTATATTTGGATATCTGGCATTTCTGAATTGATATGTTGTATAAACTGTTTATCAGGAAATGCTTCTGAGTGGGATTGGAAAATCCCCAGTTGTCCGATTTATAGAGGAAACTCTGCCCGATTTTCGTTTACGCCGAGTAAGAATTAAGTTAGAAAAAGAAAAAGTTAGCTCATATTTTTGTAAGTTAAGTCTTCCGCTGTTTCTGTTTGTATCATATGTATGTTAATTGAACCGGCTCGAGACGGGGATGTTACATTTATGGTATCAGAGCAGTTTCTCTAGGAGAGCCTGTGAAATATTGCATGAACTGTTCGGGTTGTTATGTTCTTGAGTTTTCTTGGAATACTATGATATGCATGTCTGATCACCGAGTGTGAGCGTAGCTAACTCATTCCTTTGTGTGAAATATGCAGAATTATGGTTCGCCCAAGAAGGACTTCTGATCCTCCTATTGACCCGACCGATCCAATATTGGCAGATTTGGCAAGACCCCGACTTAACCCGCGGGGAAATACTTCACAGCCAGATCCAATGATAATGGCCTTAACTGAGATGCAACAAAATATGGCTGCAGCTAGGCAGCGAGAGCTTGAAGTGATGATGAAAGCAAATCAAGATCTGTTAGAGGCTAATAGGTTGGCCAATCAAGAAATGATGGCAGCAAGCAGAATGGCGAATATTGAAATGATGAGATTACTCTTGGTTGAGGTGAGGGCGGGTGGGCAAGGTCCACAGCCACAGCCTGAGCCACAACCACAACAGCCTGTTCCTCCTCCTCAAAATCCCATTGTTGTGGAGGGTGAAGGAAATCATGATGTGAATGAAGAATCTAGTCACAGGGGTGGCGTGGCACAGCCAGCCACTAATAGAGAGCAAAGAGAAAGAATGCTAAATGCCTTCC